TGAAGCCCATGAGTGAAACATAAAAAATAATAATAAAAAGAAAAAAATTGAAAAAAAAAACTTTGAAGCTATAAGTGAACAAGAGCTGAAAGTTAAATGCCCACAATTTGTGATAATCTTGTTTACAGATGTTCCATAATGTAATGTTAAGTAGCAATTTGATAAGGGGGACCAAGTTTAGCTATGATACCAAAAGAAAATTAAAGAATTAAAAAATATTAAAAAAATACAAAAAAACTATGAAGTCCGTGAATGAATAGGAACAGTAATCAAAGGATTTAGTGATACATAGGATAAAGAAAACAGGAAAACCTCAAGAATTGTAAGTTAGGATCCTATAATCTGTGGTAGGCTTGTTTTTAGATATTTCATATGTAAATTTAACTAGCAATTTGATAAAGGTAACAAGTTTTAGCTCAAATACCAAATTTGATGTAAGACAGATTGAAATTTCAATAGAGAAGAGAGAGGAGAAGAGACAGCAAAAAATGGACAAGAACCGCAGAGAAGAAGGGAGAAACCCAGAAGAGAGAATCAGAAGCAAAAGAATCAAGTAAGAGAGAGAGAAAAAAAACTTGATCACCAAGCATATTCATTTCAATTCATCAATGTCTACTTCAATTACAATTGAAGACCATATAAATAATAAGACATAAACCTACCAGTGATGGGCTTGGGACAACCTAATAATGCGAGCCCAATAATTGAAAAGGTAAAATAGTCTAATAATAACAAAAGGATGTTTGCATCAATAGTATTATCCTTTTTTAGGTTTTGCCTTATTTCCCACTTTCACATGATAATAAATAGATTGGAATACCTCTGAAGAAAGCTTTTCCTTTAAACCAACGAGCTCCACAACTGGAATGACCTAATCATATGGGCCCACTCATTACGAATAAATTGGGTAGGAGCAATGTTAAAAGAAAAAAGAGTTTCTCGAAAAAAATGATGGAAAGTAACTTAAAATCCAATATCCATCGACTGTTTATGAATGGCTATACAATCATGAAGATGGTCCATGATTCGAAACTACCCAGGACATAATAACTCAATGTAATCAAGGACATTAAACTGACTTCTGTTTTCATCGAAGTCCCTCTCAGTAAGACTAGTAAAAATTTTCGAAGCTTCAAATGCCTCCATGTTACCCTCACTGAGATTGTTTGGTTCACTTGAAGGTTTTCATGCCTCATCACGTATCTCAGGCATAGGTCAACAACTACCCTCTGCCTAATAAATTATGGGTTAACTCAAGAACCATACAACACTTCTACGGAAGAAAATGAAACATTCGAAGGGTCATCCCTAAGTCAAGAACTCTCAGTCCCAGAATCATAAAACATGTTTTGGGACGACATTGTAAACAAAACTTTAAACGTTTATAGATAAAAATGTAGACACAGAAGCAAGATGAAGGCAAAACATGTACGTAAAGAAAGGTTTTTGAAAGACAGTTAAAGAAGGCTGGAGATGGAATCACAAAAAAACAAGTATGTAGCACCATAAATAAGAGCAACAAAGAAGCAATGAACAAACTCATGAAAAGAATGACGTATTTATAGGTTCGAAAAGAATTCCAAGCATTCGAATTATGTTAGTGATCATTACGGCCATTTAAGAATTTTCAAGCAATCTTAACCAGTTGAATACCAAGGAGTGCCCGAATAAAATTCAAAATAAACGAATGAGATTGCGTGTAGTCGACATGCTCATTAAATGTACCTATCACCATATGTAAAAAACTATTGTAATCATGGCATGTCCTCTCAACATAGTACAAATCAGCTACAACAAACAAAAAGGAATATGCTTAAGAATACTCATAATTGAAAGTTTGTTGCTCAATAATAAATAATTAAGTTCGAACTTTGGGAACTTAATGAAAAGTGAACTTCTAAGACTATTTTTTGAACAAAATATAAAATGGATATGCAAGCTCATAGCATTCCTAGGCAAAGTCTGACTAAATGCAAAGCTAAGTGAAAGCTTCAACCAAAAATGATGAAAAGGAAAAAAAGGACGAACCATCCCCTCTATGGAGGCAAAAAATCTTACTAAAACACATGTGGATAAATATGTAAAGTATGACTTCTAAGCCAACAAATAATATGTGAATGCATTAACATAATTAGTTATCAACCCACCACTAAGCGACCGCCACCTATTAATTTCCGGAATAACTTAATTTCCTCAATGCCTCCAAGAAAATCTATAAATACGAAGGCAAATATCTACCTCTCAAGTAACCATTTCCCCTCTTGTTCCTAATTCAACATCAAAATCAAAGAGTATAAGATGAGAAAATCCTAACTATCAACAATTTTATAGTCAACAACATATAATACATTTAATTCATTAGCTTACACTCACACTTACACGAACAATTATAAGGCACGTCCAACATTATGTAAACAAAAAAAAAAGGAAAAACATAGTGGCGAAATTGTTCTCTTGCCCACAATGAGCAGGTAAGACTACTTGCATGCTGATGTGACATAACAACTTTACTTACGATTCTTTCCAAATGTGAAAATCATAAGTAAGGTCTCCTCAAAATGGGCAAGATAAAACTTTCCATTATGGACAGGAGGACATGGGTGAGAGAAGTAGAGAGGTAAATATCTTCTAAGCCTACCCAAGACATTGATAAACTGACAAAAGGACTTCAACTTTTTAGTTTAGAAAGAGCTATTTATATCTGATAATATCACAAATTGTTAAGTAATTCATCCATTTATACTTATATTATTATGATATATTGATGCCTAAATACACTAGGTACCCTTATATTTTAATTTAGGTTGCAAATGGGTGGATATAGTAGAATTTGAGAGAAAAAGAGCAAAAAATGATCAAAATTGAAGCAAGTGAAAGTTCAGGGACCAAGTTATAAATAAATCAAAGATGAGAAGGGTGATGGAATGATGATCCAAGAAAGCTAAGGGTCAATTGGTTGCAATTGGAAGTCAAAAGAAGTGAAATATGATCATAACATTTACACAAATCGATATTCATCGGCATAAGGATGTTCCAGATATTTAGCCAAAGATGGATCCAATTCGAAGGGATCTATTTTCAGTGAAAAGAAGGGATCCATTTTTGACCTAGTAAATGACCTATTTTTGGGCGTAATCAATATCCATCAGTGAATTCTATTTCCTTTAGTGATTTTTCATCTCCCTGTGGAATCAACACTCCAAAGATGTACTACCACTATCGCGTTATTCTTTGGGTATAATCAAAATCCATCATTATTGTATATCTATCTCACTTTATATCAATCTCTATTAAAAAATTTTAAAAAAATTTATTTTTATTCGCATCACATTTTAATATCGTCCTTATCAAATTCATTCATTTTAACACTACTAGTAGTAAGCACGTGCATTGCACGTCTTATTTGAGGAATGAATAATATAGTAATAATTTTAAAGTAAGGCAATTGATAATGTTAAAAGGAAAAGCTAAATTGTTAAAAAATATACATATAAATAAAAGTTTTATGAAAATTATGTACATAAAGTGAAAATGTTGAATAAATTGAAATGCAAAGATTTGTTTATGCTAGACTTTGGTTGGACCCCTATTTTCAACTATTATGACGACAACGACCAATTTTGTGGTACATACAGATACGAAGAAAAATCAAATTAAAAGATGTACACATGATTAAGTTTAAAATGTTTACGTATAAGTAAACTAAAGGTACGAAAATAATTTTCAAATTAAAAAATTACTCATTTTGTTTATACCATAAACTTTTTTACCTAAAAAATAAAAATAAAAAATTATCTTATCTAAACATATTTAGAAATAAAAAATTACATATTAATCATGCTCGTCATATTAATCCATATCATTTATTTTAAATTAGAAACCAAAGTTACATCCAAAATAGATATCGAAGTGAAAAATCTTAAACAAATGTTTTCCTTTTCCTTTTAATGGGATTAATACAAATGGAGGAATAAAAATTCTTCATTTAAATTTACCGAGATAAAAATCCTTTTTATTTTCTTTATATATTTATATCTAATAAGTAACAGGATCACCATCATTTTTATGCTTATACAAAAATGAACACACAATATCCAGTCCCTCTATTTTGTTTTATTTTAATTATAATGTATTTGATTGATCCTTAATGGGCATTTAGAATATGATCCATTTATTGACTTTCTTGATTTAATTAACGTTGTCAAGGTTTAACAATGTTGTTGTCATGGGAGAATTCATCATTCACATTGTTTTTAAGTTTTTTAAAGTTAAAAAGTCACTGTAATTACATATTCAGCAAACACTAGTTTTAGATTACGACTAACATGGCAAGTGTAATTCAAAAAGTTAATACTTGTTCATAAAAAAAAATTATGTTCACGTGCATTTAACTATGTTAGAAATCTTAGAACGCATTAGCATATCAAAGAAGTTCCTTCCCTAATTGTAAGTTTATTATGATTTAGGCTGTTTTAATTAATTTTGAGTTTGACAAGGAAAAAGTATATCACCTTTCCAATAATTATCACAAGGAATTTTTTAATCCAATCACATAATGAGATGGCTTGTCTTGCGTAATGAGAATATTACATAACGTATGTCGTATTTACTACAATAGATACATCCATGAAAAACGAAAATTTCCTACCGTAAAAAGTCTATTTCAAGTGACGCAACCAATATCAGAAATTGCAGCTAGTAGGAAAGACACAGTCGAATCTTTAGCCATGATTCCAATTATTTTTAAACAAACCATGCTTGGGATACATAATGGACACCATAATGGTGTCCATAATGCCCAAGTGGTGCCACCCTATTGGAGGGGGCGCCTGACCCACCGGCACCCTCTCCAATAGGGGGGCGTCACTTGAGCATAATGGTGTCCGTTATGTTGAAGTAGCATAATCCTTTTTAAACCTCTTCTCTTATTTCCTTCAACTCAAAAAGGGCAGTTTTTAGACTGCAAATCATGTGTTGATCCCAAGACGAGGAAGGCTTATCTAAATCTCTAGAACAATATCTGCAAAAAACCAACCATTAGATTGGTCAATTCCATGCAATTCGTTCTAATTGTGAAATGAAAAACGGGTTATGAACTTACATTCAGAATCTGTCTTCACCCATTTATGTCCATCGCGACCTTTCTCAAACATTTCATCTTCTGTTTCAGCATTCAATGAATGTCTGTCGTCTATATATTTCTTCATTGATGATGCTCGAGAAGATTTTTGTGGATATATCTTGTTGGTGAGGATTGTTCTCATAAGCTGTTGAACATACAAAGTTCATAAACGATTTTATAACTGCACTTAAAAATGTGCAAAATAGGAACCAAACATTCCCCCTTACCGTCCAAATTCTTGATTCATAAAATGCATAATTACCTTCTCCATTCTTGATTCATGAAACGTGTCTCGTAGACCCGGATTTGGTACAAAACCACTTGTGCAGACGAACATTTTCTTGAGAAGGAAAGAAACTGATTTTCTCCCAATTGTCGTCTTCTTATTTTCACGAACATCTTTGTATCTTCCAAGGAATTTTCTAATAGTTCTTTCAATTTCTTCATCTTTATCATCTGAATTAGTGCCATATCTGTTAGAAATTGAAGGGCAGTTCAGGAATCTATCCAATGATAGATCAGAAATTTGTTCTTCAGCTTGTTTTTTAGACAAGAGCTCTGTCAATTCACTCTGTAGCTTCCCAAAATCTTCAGGTGTAAATTCCTCCAGCTCTGGATTTTGCACAGTTTGGCTCTCTTGTTTTCTTGTAAGATCCGTATTGCCAAAAGTTCCAATTGCCAGCAGCCCTTGAGACCAATCACTAAATTCTTCCTTGGGATCTTGCTTGTCTGTACAAACTTGAATGAGGAAAAAAGTATAATTTTAAATGCGAAAGTACTTATTTTGTACTATAAATAAGCTGGTCCCCCCTACTATATGCCAACTTCCCAGAGACAAACATGTACAATATCACTTGAAGACATTTTACCATTCGCTTCACGATTTGATTATAAACAAATCAACTCTCTTGAATCAAAAACCATGAAACGGAAAAAGAAGAAGAGAACACTTACATGTGTTTGGCTTTCTATTGCATTGTTGTCCATTTAACTTATTTTGCATCCAGGTGAATAACTGCAGCCCAACAAAACAAAACAACACTTGTAAGAATTAACCAGATATGCATAGTTAAAATATAACATAGCACATTTGTCACTGCATCTCACCTTCATTTTCAAAGACAAGAAGCCAATGAAATTTAAGTTTTGAAACCAATAAATAAAGATTAAAATTAAGCAGGTTTTTCTAGTGGTTCGAGTTCCCAAACACAGCCTTCAGCAAATCACAATCCTCTTCTGTAATGAATGAAGACATTATGGGCTTTTATATTGGGGTTTTATATAGAATGTAGTTTACATGTGTACTTTGCAGACATAGGAGAGGGATTTGCGGGGGAATTTGTGTGGCAAATGATAAAAGACCATTCGCGGCGCTACTTTAACCCACGTAATTAAGAATCCTAATCTTGATCTAAGTTTGGTGTCAATCTCGAAAAATTTTGCTATCAGAGGTGATTGAGGTGACATTCGACAGGATTTATAAAAAATAAAAAGCCCTTAAAAACCACTAAAATTACGCTTGATAGCCTAATTTTTTCATGAAAAATGAAAATGAAATTCCATTTCTCACTTTTGACCTATTTGATAGTCAAAATTTACCCACCAATTCATTTTCCACATTTCGCTCACATGCTCAAAATTTTCAGGTTTTTTGGTGAATTTATTTTCCCATGACGTAGGTGGTTTTATGTTTTCCACGCACATTGATAGCATAGTGAGATCAATCCAAACATGTGTATATAAAATCATTTTTTTTTTTTTTTTTTTTCCCCTTTTTTTTTTTTTTTTTTTTTTTTTTTTTTTTTTTTTTTTTTTTTTGTTTTTTACAAAGGAAACAAATTCTAGGAACTATTATAAAAGAGGATATCCTTAAATTGACAATTTTTATATAAAATAAAGTCAAACGAATATCAAAATATAGATGATTTTTGAATTTTTTTTTTTTTATTTTTATTTATTATTTTTTTTTTGCAACGAAAACAAATTCTAGAAACAATTATAGAAGTGTATATCCTTTAAATTGACAATTTTCATGAAAAACAAAGTCAAACGAATATCAAAAGACACTTTTATTTCAACATTTTTTAGGTGAAAATTTATACAAATCAACCATTATTAATTGACAATTCCTACTAAAACAAATTCTAGACAATTCAATTCTCTGGAATTCATTTTCTTTTCACCCAAATTTCATTTTTGCAATCAAACAGACCATAATCCTACAAGTATCTATCACATGAAATCTACTTCCACATTTTTTTAACTAGAATCAAATAAATCATAAAGATTGTACACATATAAATGAAGATAATAAAACAAAACACTACCACTGATACGATATTACTGTACAATAATTTTCTATCCTTGGAATTTGCTAAAATCTTATTTGTGATATTTCAAATATAAACGACAAATACCATATTAAAAACTCTATCATCTTAAACACGTACATTAATAAATATCTTCAATTATATTGTTTGAGCCACATTTTGAAGGAAAGAATGCATTTTAAATAGTAAATTGATGAATAATGAGTGGTTACAAATTAAGTTAATGTTTTGAATTTGCTTGTAATATTATTTTATTGAAAAATGTATGATTGAAAATGAGTTTTGAAAAAATGAATTTTTAGAAGAACGAGGATTAAACAAGGACTTACGTAGTAATATATTTTGTTCATGGAATTAAGAAACTACTAATTTAATTAGAGAAGGGGTTGATAAGCACATATACTTTTTGTTGCAATCTAAATCAAGAATTATAGGTTATTTTTCTTATCAATGACAAGGAGAGAAATAGTGACGTTTATAGACATATATAAAACTTGCTTGTATTGTTAACTGTTGACAATGGTTTCTTCTTAGTAATCGTATAAAAATCTTGCTTTAATATATATTTGTCAAGAAGTCAATGGCTATTTAAAGTAATGCTTGCCTTTTGGGAAGGGAATCAATGGCTATTTTAAAGTAATGCTTGCCTTTTGGCCTTTTGGGAAGGGAATCAATGGCTTTCGGGAAGGGAGCCTCCGTTTGTTTTTCATTTTTGAAAGAATGAGAATGAAAAATATAGTCGTTACGGTCCGATAAAAATTTATATTTGATGACTTGATATGATAAATAACGATCATATTTTTCATTTTAATGAAAAAATAATAGAAACCAAACTAGGGCTGAGAAAAGTAAACATTAGCAGTCCAAATATTTTTAATCACATATAAGGAGAAAACAATAACAATAGAGAAATTTGTTTAATATCAAGTTTGAGTATTGCTCATATATTTCAAATTTACAAGTACATTTAGAAGCAAATAATACTTGTGCTCAAATTCAAATAAGGTCATCCAATCCGTCACCGACATACTTTGAAGTTTCTCTGGACACAGATAAGCGAATAAGCAAGGTGAAATAGATGGAAAAGTTAAAAGAAAGGTTGCCCTCCAGGCACAACTCAACTGGTGGATCAATCAACATTGTCTTGCTTCCAGCGGCAGGGTGGAGAGTTCGATTCCTGGTGGGAACCTACGACCAAATATTTGGTATGGAGCAATCACTGTGGAGGAGGGTCTCTTGTGCGCAGAAGTGTACAAGTAATGGGGGGAACCTGTGATCCAATTGAGGCATAACCCGCGATTTACCCCCTCCAAAGTTCTAGGGACAAGGGTCTTGAGGGTCCAGGATTTAGTTTAATGTAAATTGGGATACCTTGATATAAAAAAAAAAAAAAAAAGTTAAAAGAAAGGCATGTATGTGATTGGAGTCCACTAGGTGCCTCGGGTTTCCAAATTGAACCCATAATTAAGAGACTAGTCAAATGTAAAATCTTCTTAACCTTTTTTCGATTAAACAAACATACCATAATGATGCCGCCTTCTGTCTTCCATTAAAGTAAAACCCCAACTCATCCAAGCATATTTTGGAACTGTTCCTCCTACACATTAATTTGATAAGTATTTTTGACAAATATTCATAACTTTTAATCAAATCAATTCAACGCTCAGAATTTATCTTTTAAGCCCCTGTTTGAGTTCCATTATTTGTAGATTATAATGAGATAAATAGTATTTTTTTGAAAAATGAGTGATTGAAAAGTTTTTTATTTACGTGTAATATTATTTTATTAAAAATTGTGTGGTTAAAAATAGGACAGGGAAAATTTTAATTTAATGTAGTGAAAAATAATGGACCCCAATCGGGGGCAAAAACACTGAAGAATTCATGATCTTACTTCAAACACCCCTAATTACCTTATTTATCACTAAAATCTCTCAACAGCGTCGTGATTTTCTATATCTTATTCCATTCTCCATGGCTCCTGAAATTCGTTCATCATCTCTCTCACAAAATTGAATCTCCAAACCATCACTGCATGTGAAGTATTCCTCACCTTAAGCATCAGTTATGTCAAAAATTCAGTGGATTCAAAGGACTGGTCATCCTTTGTTGATGCAAAGCTCCAAGCTATTTGTGAAAACTTGGCTAATTCGTCGAGGCAAGGAAAGAATTCAGCAAAGGTCCGTTCTGTTTCTGATCCAAAGACTGAAAATTTGAGACGAGTTGGGGATGAGATGACAAAAATGTGTTGTTTCGAATGATGTGTTAACTGAAGGATTTGGGTATGATAATATCTTGGTCGAGGCCTCCTTATCAGGCGTTTTTCCGTATTATCTTTACTTTATTGACTTTTTATGTAAAATTCATGTTTCAGTTGATATCTGTTGAGGCATTTCCAATTGAGTTTTTGCATTTTGATTTCTTGTCCATTGTAAAATTTGGGTTAAACAGTTTTGTTGAATTCAACATAAACTATGATATAATGTATATATAAATCTCATTTTGTTTCCTAGTCTGTGATTACTGGTTTATGTGGACATTGGGCATCTGGTTGATCACTGGTTCATGTTGTGCATAGCTTTGTCAAACTACAAGGGTGATAAATTCAGAACACTTCTTTCCCATATACAAAATGTCTCGCTAGAATAATCACATTTGTTTCACATTGAATGAAAGTGGCTACCATTAATGGAAAAAAATTGCAGTAAATCGAAAATAGTAAGAAGAAGTTGCAATAAACCAAAAATAATAATAAGAGCAGATGGATCTTTAACTACTATCGCCTTAGCAAAGTGCAGCCCTCTTGTATTGCCAATCACTAAGTCTGTGTTGATTAATCTCCTGTCAACAACATTCACCTGCATTCATCTGTACATTCAACGAGCATTCACAAGAATGTGGAGTAAAGATTAATCTCCTGTCACCAACATTTATCAGCATTCATATGTACATTGCTTGGCTCGAAATCTGAATTTTACACGAAAGAAAAACAACTTAGTACACAAACACATAAAAAACTGATTTATCAGTGAAAAAACAAAAATTAAAAATTACTTACGTGCTTCAGTCCATTTGCTCATTACTCCCGTTTACATTGTTCTTAGGGTTCTTGGGACATATCCTCTTATCATGGCCTGAATCGTTGCATAGTGCACAATGACGCTTTTTATTTTTTTTGTGCCAACTCAATACTTGATTTGAACCTCTTCGAAGTAAGATGGTCTTTTCCTTTGCCATTTTCATCCTTCTTTTTTTCGTGTTGTGAATGAAACAAAAGTGAATGCAACTTTTCAATCTTTCTTGAAATTTGACTTCTTGTAATATATATGTGATAACTTTTCACCAAATTTTTTCATGATGTGCCAAAGACATAAACGATTATAAATGTGAGGAAGAACCTTAGTAATTGCTGCCTTCATTGCTTGATCTTGCTATGTTATGTTACACATGGGATAACATCCTCCCGTAGCATCAAGCCATGTTTGAAATAACCACGAAAATGTTACCTCTGTCTCAGCTTGTAATAATGCACAACCAAATTG